CGTCAACCCGATCGACTGGCTGGGCAACTCGATCGCGGACAGCTTCGTGGACGGCATCATCGAGCAGGTCCAGGTCCCGTGGGCGCAGGCGCGCTCCGTCGGCTTCGCGGAGGGCGTGGCGAAGCTGATCAGGGACCGAACGTTCGGGACGCTGATGGCGTCCATCGAGGTGGAGCCGTCGCAGGCGCCTGGCGTGAATATCCAGAAGGAGGCCTACGTGGCGAAGTGGAGGCGCGACAAGCTCCTGGCGGAGACCAGGCACAACATCAAGTTCGAGGGGAAGCAGTACAGGTGCTTGCGCTGTGGGTCGGTCACGCTCGCGGCTGCAGCGGGCGAGTGGCTGGTTGGAGAGTGCGACGCCATGGTCAAGACGGCCGCGGCGCACAGCTCGATCATCAGCCGCCCGAGGATCGGCAACCAGGAGGCGCATGCGTCGCACAATATCGTGTACGACGAGGCCCAGCAGCTGCACTACTGCACGCTGTGTGGGTGTATTGGGCGAGAAGGGATGGGGAGCTTCGCAGCAAAGTGCAACGAGGTGCCCAAGCAGATGGGCAAGCAGAACTTCGCGAGGATCAAAAAGTGACTGCAGCCTGGGACTTCGTCCTTGGCTAAGGAGTTCAACGAGAAGAAGAGGAAGAGCGCGGGCTACTGATAGCGGCGCGCCGTTTGCGCGTCGCCCTGTCCCCGTTGGGCTCAGAGTGGGCCCCGTGAGCCGATGGCCCGTGCATCAAACAAAATCATCGTCATCGTCATCATCGTCATCGTCATCGCCATCGTCATCGTCGTGCTTATGCCACCGTTTGTCGACAGCCTCCCTCCCTCCCCGCGCTCCTCTCCCCTCAGTCGCCCCCTCTTCTCTGGAGGGAGCGTGCACGCAGACATACACAAACGTACATTCTCAGGAACACGTGCGGCAAAATGGGAAGTGGAGGGGGAACCGAACATCCCCTATAAAGGAATGAAACATTGGGGGGTCATAGGGTTTGTGTCTATCCATTTGTGTCTCCCTGGGGCTCTTTGTCGTCGCTCCCCTCTCTTTCCGCGTGCCGCGGCGCGCGCGCGCGACCCGCATGCCCGATCGTGGGCGGGGGGGCCGCCGGAGGACCAAAGGAAGGTGTCGCAGCCCGTGCGCTTCAAGGAGGGGCATGCCAGCCGGGCGCGCGCCAGCTCCTCCTCCTCTTCTTCCTCCTTTTCCTCCTCCTCCTCCTCCTCCTCCTCCTCCTCCTCCTCCTCCTCCCTCCTCCTCCTCCCTCCTCTTCCTCTTCCTCCTCCTCCTCCTCCTTCTCCTGCTCCCTTCCCTCCTCCTCCTTCCTCCTCCCTCCTGCCTCTTCTCCTCCATCCTCCTTCTCCTCCCTCCTCCCTCTTCCCTCCTTCCTCCTCCTTCCTCCGTCCTCCCACCGCCCTCCTCCTCCCTCCTCCTCTTCCTCCTCCTTCTCCTCCTCCTCGTCCTCCTCCTCCTCCTCCTCCTCCTCCCTCTTCTCCCCCTTGCTTCTCGCTTCTCTCGCTTCTCTCTGGCGCCTTCTCCTCCTCCTCCTCCTCCTCTTTCCTGGTCCCTTCATGCTAACTCTTCTCGTTCCGCCGACGCTAGGGGGGATGGGGGAAGGAGCTATTGGGGTGGGGGAGGAGCGGGGGTATCTTTACGTAGTCATCTTAACCAGCATGAGCTCCAGACATGAAATTATTGCGCTGTGGATGTGAAAACTATATGGTGTAAGCCACGCGTTGTGAGCTATGTGATGTAAGCTATGTTACGTATGCTATGTTGTGAACATTATGTTATGTAAGGCCATGCCGGGTGGACGATGTGGTTTGAGCTATGAGAGGCGATTCATGCTGTCTGAGCTATGCTGTGTAAGCTATCTGATGAACGCTGTGTTGTGTAAACTATGCGGTGTGAGCGATGCGGTGTGAGCTATGTGGTGTAAGCAATGTGGTGCAAGTTGTGTTGCGCAAGCTTAGTGTTGTGAGCTGTGCGGTCTGAGCTAGGCTGTGTACGCAATGTAGTGTGTTCTATGTGGTGACAGCTATGAGGCGGGTCTCCAAAGCGGCAACGCGGCAGCGACTGGCGGCGGCGTGCCAAAACACTGTTTCTGGGACTTCAACGCCGCGAATCTACGTGATTTTTGCTTCCTTAGGCTTCTAACTCGTGCCAGAACGCCATACCTCGGACTCCAGCGTCGCGAATCAACTTGACTGCTGCGTCCTGACAGTCCTAAATCTGGTCAAAATCCATTCCTGGAGCTTCAACCGTGCGACTCCTTGTATCTATTGCAAACTTTGAAGACGAATGTGCGCGGCGCTAAGGCGAGAGCAACATTTCTGAAAAGGAACCGCCTTCCATTGTTGAAACTGTGGGGACCTTTTCAGACGAGTGTGCGGCGCAACCTTCAGGGGCCACCCCTGAGGAACGGCCCTTGCGTCCACACCTCCGCGCTGGGGTCGCTCAAGCAGGGGTTGCCACCTCGTGACCACGCAGCCTCCTCCTCTTCCTCCTCCTCCTCCCCCTATCCGCTCCGTTTCCTTCTTCCCCCCCATCCCATCTCCGTATAACTACTCCCCCTGTCGCACCCCCAGACGTGACGGTAGGGCGCGCGGGACCTGTCGCCCAAGGCTTCCTCACCGTCATAAAGCTTGAAGTTTTCACAGTTCTACGGATGGAGGGCGGGTTGTTTCCAGAGAGAGAGAGAGAGAGTGAGAGAGAGCGCTTCTCCAGTTCGCTTGCCGTGGAAAAGTCTCCCAACACGTGCGGCGAAATGCAACTCGATTTGCATTCTTTCGCGCCGCCTTGTTCCGGAACTCCGAGAGCAAGGCGGCGCGCGAGAAGCCGCCGTTCGAGACATCCCCGCAATCGCGGCGCCGTCGTTCGAGATATTTCCACAACCGTGGCGCCGCTGCTCGAGACATCCTCGCAACCGCGGCGCTGGCGCTATAGACATCCTCACAACCGCGGCGCCGGCGCCCCAGACATCCGCACTACCGTGGCGCTGGCGCTCGAGACATCCGCACAGCCGCGGCGCGAGCGCTCGATACACCCGCCGCACCATCTCGACGCTGGCGTTCGGGACATCCGCACTACCGTGGCGCAGGCGCTCGAGACGTCCTCGCAATCTCGGCGCCGCCGCTCGAGACATCCTCTCAACCGCGGCGCTGGCGCTCCAGACATCCTCACAATCGCGGCGCCGCCGCTCGAGACATCCTCACAACCGCGTCGCCGCAACCATTTTCCCCCCTTTCCAAACGCTCACTGAAGGCGCCCTTTCTTTCAACAGAACATTCAGGGTGTCAGAAATAATAGTTCCTGGCGGAACGTTGGCGACTTCGTTCAAAGGATATCCAGAAAGCGCTTCGCATTGCAGGCAACTCGCGTCCAGGCCCCGACGGTGTTCCTGTTCAAGCATGTCGAACTTTGGGCCCGCTTGGGATTCACGTGCTTTGGGAGGCTGCGCGACAACTGGAGGTAGGGCTCGATGCCGGCGACCACATCCACGACGCGTTCAACGAATATTTGTTGTTTTTTTTGCCAAAACAAACCACGCTGACTGATCCACACGGGGAGCACGTATACCGTGCCAGCTGTACCCGGACACTATCAATTACAAGCGCTAACAGTAGGCTCTTCGCCAACGCGTGCCGGCTGCGATGGGAACCTCTGGTTGCCTCTGGCACTATCGGGGGTGGACAGAACCCCCAGCAGTGACACGTCGATTAGTGAATTGTCCGTTTTCGGTTCTCGAGAGGGCGCCGTGGCCGTTATTTTCCAGGCTTGCGCCCGCCATACTACTACTACTACTACTACTACTACTACTACTACTACTACTACTACTACTACTACTACTACTACTACTACTACTACTACTACTACTACTACTACTACTACTACTACTACTACTACTACTACTACTACTACTACTACTACTACCTACTACCTACTACTACTACTACTACTACTACTACTACTACTACTACTACCTACTACCTACTACTACTACCTACTACCTACTACCTACTACTACTACTTACTACTACTACTACTACTACTACTACTACTACTACTACTACTACTACTACTACTACCTACTACCTACTACCTACTACCTACTACTACTACTACCTACTACTACCTACTACCTACTACCTACTACCTACTACCTACTACTACTACTACTACTACTACTACTACTACACTACTACTACTACTACTACTACTACTACCACTACACTACCACTACCACTACCACTACTACTACTACTACTACTATTACTACTATACTACTACTACTACTGCTACTACGTCTACTACTACTACTACTACTACTACTACTACTACTACTACTACTACTACTACTACTACTACTACTACTCTTACTACTACTACTACTACTATTACTGCTGCTAATACTACTACCACCACTACTACTACGACTACACTACTACTACTACTACTACTACTACTACTACTACTACTACTACTACTACTACTACTATTATTACTACTATTACTACTGCTATTACTACTGCTACTACAACTACGACTACGGACAACAAACACAATATTCTTCAGCATAAGAAGAATATGACGAATTCTGACAACAGCCAGACCGATACTATCAGTATTGATTATAGCAACACTAATCAGAAAGACAAGCAGGGTTTCCATTTAAGTTAAAAGAAGAGGAAGAAGAGGAGGAGGAAGAAGGGGAGGAGGAGGAGGAGGAGGAGGAGCAGGAGCAGGAGCAGGAATAGGAGGAGGAGGAGGAGGAGGAGGAGGAGGAGGAGGAGGAGGAGGAGGAGGAGCAGGGGGGAGGGAGGAGGGAGAGGGGGAGGAGGAGGAGGAGGATGACCTCGATCGAGGCCATCTTGGGCTACCTGGTACCACCTTTTGCAGATCCATCGACCTCCGATCCCGTGTCCTCGGCCGCCGATCCTCGCGAGGCCCAGCGCCCCCCCTCGCACGCCAGGACATCCGCTCCGCGCAGCAGCTCCCGAGGCCGGCGCAGGCGCGCCCCTGGTCGCAACCGCGCCCCTGGCGCCGGCCCGCCGCCGTCGCCTCGGATCAGCGGACGAAGATCAGGCGATCGCAAACATGGATCAATCGACTACACGTAAGAGTGACCCTTCGCCGGAGTGACCTTTGGTGCGGGCCCAGTGGGACCCCCCGATCGCCGAGTGCGATGCGGTATTAGCGCCTTGCGCGCTCGTGTTTGGTTCCCCCGCGGCCCCCGCAAGGCTGGGCACCAAAGGTCACTCTGACCCAGGGTCACTCTTGCGTGTAGTCGAATCAAGGGGGCGTGGATTCTTCTTTGTCCGCGAGCGCGTAGGGATGCCAGGCGCCGTCAAGAAACGCGGCTAACAAGCAGCGGCCTAAATTCCGCACAAGGGCGCCCAGGAGCGAGCTGCGCTGCGGCTCAAGAGACGCGGTGGACCAGGAGGGAAGACAGGTCGAAGTGCAGCGAAAGGGGCCGTGGATTCGCGAAGGGTCCCGTTTCCGTGGGAAATCGTGGAGTTCGGCCGCCGAACGAGGCGGCGCCACCCGCATTTTGGGGAGGGCACCTCCCCCGATCCATGGTTGCGCGCAACCGAGATCGGGGGTTCTGATCACGATGACCCCCGAGACAGGTCCGAGGTCGTCGTCGTTGTGCTGGTCGCCACCGCCGTCGCCGTCGCCGTCGCCGTCGTGGTCGTTGTCTTCGTGTCTTTGTCGTCGTCGTCGACGTCGTCGTCGTCGTCGTCGTCGTGGTAGTGGTCGTGGTCGTGGTCGTGGTTTTGGTCGTCCTCGTCGTCGTCGCCGTCGTGGTCGTCGTCCTCGTCGTCGTTGCCTTTGTCGTGTTAGCCTGTATTCGGGACGAAGGGGCGACGGGAAGTTTCATGTGTAGGTCATGATGGATGGCGGGAGGGAGGTTGGGAGGTGGGGATGGGGAACTTGCGTAGGAGGAGGAGGAGGAGGAGGAGGAGGAGGAGGACGAGGAGGAGGAGGAGGACCAGTGTAAAACCAAGAGTCATCAACGATGTTGGAATTTACCCTCCCTCCAAGCTCCCTCTTCATAGGCCCCCACAGTGGTTCATGTCCATTGAGGGAACTGCCTCGTTGGAAGACAGCCGTTTGAAGATCCTGAAGCATGCCAAAACATTGTTGTCAGGATTTCAACGCCACGTATCAATCTGACTGCTGCGTCTTGACGATCCGGAATGGTTCCAGAGCACCATTTTTGGGATTTCAACACCTCGACTCAACATAACTGTTGTACCCGCATAACCTTGAATCCGTCCAAAGCACCAGTCTTGGTACGTTGATCATGGGAATCCGCGAAATTCTTGCAAAGTTTGAAAACGAATGTGCGCGGCGCTAAGGCGAGAGCCACATTTTGAAAAGGAACCGCCCTCAATCCGTGAAACTCTTGCAATTTCTTACAACGAATGTGCGCGGCGCTAAAGCGAGATCCCCATTTTGAAAACCACCCGCCCTCAATCCGTGAAACTCGAAACGAAAGTGCGCGGCGCTAAGGCGAGAGTCACATTTTGAAAAGGAACCGCCCTCAATCCGTGAAACTCTTGCCAACTTTTGAAGCGAATGTGCGCGGCGCGAAGGCGAGAGCCACATCTTGAAAACCACCCGCCCTTGTTCCGTGAACCTCTTGCTCATTTTTAGAGCGAATGTGCGCGACGCTAAGGCGAGAGCCACATTTTGAAAACCACCCGCCCTGTTAAGCTGTAAAACTGTTTTGAGAACCACATTTTGAAAGCCACCCGCCACATTTTGAAACCACCATTTTGAATAACATCTGTGAAACTGTTTACTTGTTAAGCTTCATATTCATAAGTGTTGAGGAAGTCTCAGGCGAAACGCCCAGCCCGCCCTAAATTTTTTCGGGTACTTGTTTGATTGTACTGGCCTCCTGCCAGTGCCGCCGATCCGGGGCGCTCCGACTGATGTGATCCTCCTTCGCCCTACTCCCTCCTCTCTTTTTCCCTCCCTCCCCTTCTCACTCTGCATTTATCGAAGACGCCTAGGGCGAATCACCGCCGCCCCCTGCCTTTTTGGAAGCGCCTATGTGGCCGAACGTTGAGGCCAGACCTGCCAAGCTATCGGACCATGTGTTCCCCGAATGGGTTTGGAAAGCCTTCGGGGAACACGTGGGCATCTTGAAGGTCATCTTGGCCGTCTCGAGGCCATTTTGACCCTTTCGGGCCTTCTTGGAGGACGTCTTGGAGGGCTCTTGGGCCGTCTTGGAGGCCATCTTGAGCGTCTTGGAGACCTCTTGGGCCGTCTTGGGGGCCTCTTGGGGCCGTGTTTTGGGCCTCTTGGGCGATCTTTGGGGGCACTTCGGCCGTCTCGGGCCGTCGGAAGGCAGGAAAAAAGCAAATGCCACAATCCCTCAACAGCCCATGGCAAATCAATGATTTTGGCCTTTTCGGGCCTTCCTGGAGGCCCTCTTGGAGGCCTCTTGGGCCGTCTTGGGCCATCTTAGGGCCATGTTCGGCCGTCTTGGTGGGCTCCTGGTCCGTCTGACGCCGTCGGAAGCCGTTTGGTGGGCCTCTATGGGCCGACTTGAGGCCCTCTTGGAATGCTCCAGGGCCGTCTTGGAGGCCCACCTTGGGCGTCTTAAAGGCCTCCTGTGCCGTCTTGGGGGCCTCTTGGGGCCGTCTTGGGTGGGGCCCTCTTGGGCCGTTCTGGTGCAATCTTGGAGGCCTCTTGGGCGATCTTTCGGCGATCTTCGGGGGCTCTTGGGCCGTCTCGGGCCGTCGGAAGGCCGAAAAGAAGCAAATGGCAAAATCCGTCAAAAGCCATAGGAAAATCCATGTTTTGGGCCTCTTCTGGCCTTCCTGGAGGTCCTCTTGGGGGCCTCTTGGGCTGTCTTGGGCCAGCTTCGAGCCAACTTCGGCCATCTTGGTGGGTACCTGGCACGTCTGACGCCGTCGGGAGCCGTCTTGGGGGCCTTTCTGGGCCGACTTGGGGCCCTCCTGGGGCGCTTCGGGGCCGTCTTGGAGGCCATCTTGGGCGTGTTGGAGGCCATCTTGGGCCGTCTTGGGGCCCTCTTGGGGTTGGAGACGTCTTGGAGACCATCCTGGGCCATCTTGGCCGTCTTGGACGCCATCTTGGGCCAACTGGAGGCAGCAGAGGCACGACGGGCGCGTTTTGAGATCCTTTCCGGGTGGCCGGCGGGACGGGCCGAAGCCCCGGGGGGAGTTCTTTTGGAAAAAGAGCCGAAACCAAAAGCCATATAGTCTGGCACGCCGGGCAACCCTTTGATCGAAGACGCCTAGGGCGAATCACCGCCGCCCCCTGCCTTTTTGGAAGCGCCTATGTGGCCGAACGTTGAGGCCAGACCTGCCAAGCTATCGGACCATGTGTTCCCCGAATGGGTCTGGAAAGCCTTCGGGGAACACGTGGGCATCTTGAAGGTCATCTTGGCCGTCTCGAGGCCATTTTGACCCTTTCGGGCCTTCTTGGAGGACGTCTTGGAAGGCTCTTGGGCCGTCTTGGAGGCCATCTTGAGCGTCTTGGAGACCTCTTGGGCCGTCTTGGGGGCCTCTTGGGGCCGTGTTTTGGGCCTCTTGGGCGATCTTTGGGGGCACTTGGGCCGTCTCGGGCCGTCGGAAGGCAGAAAAAAGCAAATGCCACAATCCTTCATTACTCCGACGGAAGGACCCCACATGAGAATCCTCTGGGCGAATCTGGAAAAAGCCCTCACCGTCGCCCTCGTGGTTGGTGAGGCGTCCTGGCTGTCACTTCTGCGTATATTTCTTCTCGCCCTGGCGCGGGCCCTCCCCCCGCTCCCTACGTTGCCCCCGACCTCGCCCTCCTGTTTTGGCTCCGGACATTGAAGGTGGCCCGGGAGTGGTGTTCTGGGAACACACAGAACACAAAGTGACCTACAGTTGGCTCCGGGTATTCACAATGTGGCCCGGGAATGGTGTTCTGGGAGCACGAAGAACACGAAGTGGCCTACAGTTGGCTCCGGGCATTCAAAATGTGGCCTGGGAGTGGCGTTCTGGCAGCGCGAAAACCCAAAAGTGGCGACAGTTACAGGAATTGGACGACCCGCTCGGATTAGTAACATGATCCGCGGGCCCCATAGGGAGGGGGCTCCCGCTTCAGACTTCTTCGCAATTCACTCACAAATGTGGCCTGGGAGTGGCGTTCTGGCAGCGCGAGAGCCCAAGAGTGGCGACAGTTACAGGAATTGGATGACCCGCTCGGATTAGTAACATGATCCGCGGGCCCCATAGGGAGGGGGCTCCCGCTTGAGACTTCCTCGCAATTCATTCACAAATGTGGCCTGGGACTGGCGTTCTGGCAGCGCGAGAGCCCAAAAGTGGCGACAGTTACAGGAATTGGACGACCCGCTCGGATTAATAACATGATCCGCGGGCCCCATAGGGAGGGGGCTCCCGCTTGAGACTTCCTCGCAATTCACTCACAAATGTGGCCTGGGAATGGCGTTCTGGCAGCGCGAGAGCCCAAAAGTGGCGACAGTTACAGGAATTGGATGACCCGCTCGGATTAGTAACATGATCCGCGGGCCCCATAGGGAGGGGGCTCCCGCTTGAGACTTCCTCGCAATTCACTCACAAATGTGGCCTGGGAGTGGCGTTCTGGCAGCGCGAGAGCCCAAGAGTGGCGACAGTTACAGGAATTGGATGACCCGCTCGGATTAGTAACATGATCCGCGGGCCCCATAGGGAGGGGGCTCCCGCTTGAGACTTCTTCGCAATTCACTCACAGACGAGGCCCAAGGCGAGTGAGTGAGTGACTGATGTGACTGACTGACTGAGTGATGATGATCATCATCATCACACTCTCTCACGCGCACACTTATCATCATTCATATGTCAGGTGCTATCAGTCATCACTCATCATCATCATATGTGAGTGCTGATGAGTCAGTGAGTGAGTGAGTGAGTGAGTGAGTGAGTGAGTGAGTGAGTGAGTGAGTGTGTGAGGGATGATGAGTGAGTGAGTGAGTGAGGAATGAGTGATGATGATATGATGATGATG